ACCATCAATAGTTGGGATGGAAAATTCCTATCTGGTGATTTTTCCTCGCAAATTGAACAGTGTAAAAGCCCCAAAACGTCTGTGAATATAAAAACCGGCAAAGTGCGAGTGTCGCGCACGAAGGATTCTGTTTTTAAGTACTTGTTGTTACAGCGGCAACAAAAAACATCATTTGTAAAAATTTCAACGGTCTAACTAGATAACTTGGTTACTTAAAACGCCGACATTCCATATACCCCAACCTTATACTAACCAACTTGTAAGGGTAATGAAGAGGGAATCATTTCCCACCAGGTATAAGATCATGAACTACAACTTTTTTCTTTTTTTTTTTTTTTTTTTTTTATGGAGAAAAGGGGCAAACGAGCAGGAGGCTCACCTGATGGTAAGTGATTACCGCCGCCCATGAACACCTGCAACACCCGAGGGCTCACAAATGCGTTGCCGGCCTTTTAAGAAAGAGTACGCAATTACAATTACAATTACAACTGCACAATTATAGCACCTCACCGCCACTTTGATATAAGTAGTCATTCACAACACTTTCTTAGTAAAACTTCCTAAAAGCTGGAGCGAGATTTTCGAGACAATCCCAAACTTTTCACTCGAAAGTTCTACATCTTACACTGAACAACACGAAAGCTACATTGTCTCCGTCCATGTATACTGAATTAGAACTTGACATATTGACGTACGGAAATATGAATCTATGACGCTGTTACTGCAATACAACATTGACAAACAACGAATCAATCAGCAAACATTGTGCCGTTTATATTGATTTATTTTACTATAAACAATTAACTATTAAACTTATCTTAACTAAGATTTATATAATGTGTCCGTTTATTTATTTCTTAAGAAATGAAACGTTACTATCATTTTAACGATAAAGTCGCAGTAACGTTTATAAATTCTTAAGTTCTCTGTAGTAAACAACTCGGGATAAAGGGGACTTAAGAAATGTCAACTCAGTCTTGACGGGGTAATCCAGGTAAAATCCAATTTTATATCTTCCTAACGGTTAATAAATTGCAACATATCCGTTATAATATTACACGTCTTCTTTGAGCTCAGACAAAAGCTTTTGCCGAGAGTATTATTTGACGAATAAAAACGTATGATTAATAGTAACTATATAGAGACACTACATATTCTACAACAAAGTCGTCCCGCTGTCTGTCTCTCCCTATCTATGCTTAGATCTTTGTAACTACGCAACGGATCTTGATGTGTTTTTTTTTACTAGATAGAGCGATTCAAGAGAGACATTTGTATGTGTATTACTTTGCACCGGTACGAAGCCGGAGCGGGCCGCTAATACAGTAATATATCATGGTGCCGCAAGTCGGTTCTTGTCCGGTGATAAGTAATATTGGGTAAGGGAACATAATTGAGAATTTGATTATTTCACGATTAGAGCAAGGACTAAAACTGATTAATTTTGTATCTTAAAAACAGGTACCGGAATAAATTTATTACGTATTTCATCTATGACCAAAGATAAAAATTGTTTTATAATTATTTATTGATACTAAGCTCATTAATTTTTTTTAGATAAAACTGTCGCAATTTTTTTTGTTATCGCCAGTTTAGTGCTACTTTCTGCACTGATCACATTGTGAGGATGTCAGCTCAGCTCAGCTATCATCTTTTACTTAGTTTTGTTTAAGTTTCGATAAGATTTTCCCTTTAGGTGTAAGTTGAATAATGTTACTATTTGTTACGGCGCATGTAGCGCCATCCGTGATAGGGACGAAGCCGTCCACCTATCATTATTATCATCTTTATAACACGTCATACCAAACCAGTCGTCGGCACTGCCCATGACATGTAATTTTGCTGAACCAATCACATTAAAAGTGCCTTAATTGTAACATTTTCTTTTAAACTTGCACTAAATAATTGTGACATTGTAACGCTAATTATACAATACTAGCTAATTATACAATAAGACAGATATACGTAAAATATGTACATTAATTATAGCCTATGTCTTATTCTGATGTATAAACTATGTTATTGTAAAGTTTCATTAACATCCATTCAGTAGTATTTGCGTGAAAGTGTAACAAACATTCATCCATACATACAAACTTTTGCTTTTATAATATTATTAGTAAAGGATTGGTAAGGAAGTAAGGATATGATGTAGATAGGAATGTTTATTTGTTATAAACTAAAAATAACAATGTATATTGCACTAATCAAAAAGAGATATTATGTATAATAGGGGACGGTATAGAGTACCCGATGGCTGTCTAATAACCGCTTGCAACGGGAGAGTATTTATCAGTTTTAATTTCGAAACGCCGAGTGTTTTACACTCGATCCGGCGATCATTTAGCGAAACGATGCCAAAAGTAAAGTCGTTAGTAAATGTTGAGCGGGCAGTAATTTTCGCGCTGTATTCGTGGATGTACAGCGGGACGGTCCAACAAATCACTTTAATGTTTGCATCGGTTTAGCACTAACCGGCCATTTTCAACTAAACGCGGCCGTAATATTGCATTCACTGAATAGGCTTTGCGTTAAAGAGATAAATGAGAAAAGTAAAAACCTGACTTGTAACATTTTTCTTTTCTAACTTGAACAGGTGGAGAGATAGCCGCAGCATTACACAATCTTTAGAAATTATAGAGTAATATGTTATTAGATCTGGCAAAAAATGTCTAAGTATCATCTTAAATATCCATGGCTATATGCACATTATAAGCAATTGAACCTGTGAATATAAGCTGTCGTCCCATTTTCTAGGTTATTTAATGTTTAATTTTAGTATATATTCTATTGGTTTTTTTTAACACCACCATTTTCGATAAAAACTCATCCAAAAACGTTTTACATTTATGTTTTATGCATTTTAAATATTATTACAAAAAAGTAATTTTGTTTTTAACTTATCAAATTCGAGAATTGCGAGCACTACTCACGCTAAATGATGTGGTGGAGAAACTTGATCTGTTTGTGCCTCACATATGGTTTCACCTTAGCGTCATGATTTCGTGATTTGTTACGTTTAAAATAAGTAGGAACGATTTATTCAAATAAAAAAGAGACTTCAATTTACTTAATTTAAATTCGCTGCCAGGATTCGAACCTGCGCCTTCTGGATTACTATCTAACCACTAAGCTTAGCGGTAGACATCCCCACAAGTAAAGTGTTAAGTGCAGAGACTAGCACTATAGACACAATAGAAAATTTAATTTGAATAGCATAGGCAACAGTTCAACATCTCTAGTTTTCAAATATTCATTGTCAAAAATTACTTTGAGAAAGAGTGATTAAATTTCTAACATTAAAGTTATTTTTAAATTAAATTTAAATTTTTATTAAAGTTATTTGTAGACCTTCGTTCATCCACGCCGAAACTGCCAACAACCAATTAAAGCCCCCACGTTGTTCCAGCAAGAGCGCATGTTGACAGGGTCACGGGAACGCTTTCGCACACTTCCGCGTTCCTGCCATCGTTGGCGGCCTCAGCTTCTCCTGCTCGGGGAGAAGGGGCAACGGAGGCCATCCTACAACCCCATCCTCCAGGTAAAGTACGCTGGAACATAAAGCGCGACTTCCCGCTCTGCCTCTTTTGTATGGGCCAACTCCCCCGAGCTCGCTGCCCAGAGGCAAGAGCAGTCCCGGCCCCCAGTGACGGACCTGGTCTGTAGTTCCGTCGCTCATCTTGTCCAATCTTTGATGACCGACTCTTAGCCAACATTTCGTGACTCTATTAACTTTGGGTCCACACGTGCAAACTAACTTTTCCATGGGCTCTTTATAGTACTTAGTCTCTGGACCTAGTAGAGTAAGTAAGAGTAAGAGTAGTCTTCAATTTTACTTCATTGGACTGACTGTCAGTCAAGTATTGTGAGTAAATGTGTCCCGAAGAAGTCTCGAGGAAACTATGTAATTTGAACAAAGTGACATTGTTCGTGACAGCCATCCCCTACAGGATTATCATTCAGAGAGAGTGCCGGAGAGAATGGCATGAGTTTAAATATTCATATCTTGTGTGGTAGAATGAAAAAAAAAAACGGCCAAGTGCGAGTCGGAGTTGTTGCCGAAGGTTTCCGTACCATTATCTATAAAAACGGCAAAAAAAATAATTTCTGTTGTATTGGAGTACCTCATAAAAAAATATTCTGTTTTTTAGTATTTTTTGTTATAGGGGCAACAGAAATACATCGTCTGTGATAATTTCTGTTTATGAGATCGGCCTGTTGACAGACGGACAGAGAGACAGACAGCGGAGTCTTAATAATCGGGTCCCGTTTTAAACCTTTGGATACGGAACCCTAAAAATAATAAAGCTGAAGTAGCGCGGAGAAGTGGGGTAGTTTCATTAATTTCCATAGTTCCATACAGTTCAATATCAGTATTGTAATGAAATGATTATGGTACACCTAAGAGTGAAATGAACGGTAAAGCTCTTTAAATAAAACGAATTCCCTTCATACACAACTATTTTTAATTAAAATAATAAATAATTTTAACAATTTGGCGGCAAGATAGCTTCTTGAGTTGGAGTAATAACTAACGTATTTACTCGAACTCTTCAACGAGGAACTCTATCCATAAGTCTTCAAATAGCATCAGTAATGGATTCATATACTGGCAATCGAGAATTTCTCTCACATAAGGTCAAATGACGGAAGAACTTGATTAGAATCAATTTATTAACTATAACTAATATTACTATTATTTACTCTTCTTATATTTGGAAAGAGAAGATTATTCAACATCTTATATTACAATGATTATGGAACAAACCTCTTTTCGTTTTTTTAATTTCCGAATAGTCTCGACATCCAACGAATTGTTGCTCTTTGGACTTAAAAAAATACAATTTTTCCAGGCGATGGTATTAAAAATTATTATAACTTGCTATCGACTACCACTGATGTTGGTAGGTTTTTTTAAATGATTCCAAACCAGAATTCTTCCAAAATTCTTCCTATCCCTACTGCCAATTTTGCCATGACTTGCTTTGAAATCTCTTTTATATCAGGTTGTTGTCAATGTCGCATTTGATGGTCGGGCAGCAGTCAGGGTACCTGCGGCTGAGATCGGTTTCCGTGATGTAGCAGTTAGGATCGTCGGTATTCACGACGCCACATCTGAAAAATCGAGAGATTTATTTTAGAGGAGACCATAATATAATCGATTTTACTGCAAGCTTAGATCCATCCTTTTTAAAGCGCCTGTGAGAGGGTTCGAAAAACAAAATAGTTAAAATAAAGTAACAGCCGATACAGAATCTGCGAATGCTTTTAGGATTACGAAAGAATTAATTAACATTTTACTTTGACTTTGATTTTGAGGATTCGATAGCGACCTCGAATTTCAATATGGCGTTTTAGCTACTATGTCATCGTTTTTATTTGAGCAAAGCACTCTTCTGAATTTTTATGAATGATGCTTAGCTTTGAGTCAGTCAAAGTTTCGTCGGACGCTAAACCCCTGGAAAGATAAGTTTGAGCCTTCCCAATTACTGCTGCAGTATATGTGCGGCAGATCTGTTGTTTAAAGTGAACCAGGTATTATATTTTATATTGGCTTTTAAAGTCATCATCATCATCATCATTTCAGCCTGTTTAAGTCCACTGCTAAGCATAGTTCTCCCCCATAGACTGGCACGAAGTAAGATTCTGTGCCACCTGCATCCATCGACTTCCCGCCCATTTGCACAGGTAGTCACTCCATCTAGTGGGGGGTCGTCCTACACTGCGATGGCCAGTACGAGGCTTCCTTTCTTTCTTAACGGTTATCTATTCTGCGACCTATATGGCCGGCCCATCGCCACTTCAGCTTGATAATCTTCTGAGCTATGTCGGTTACCTTGGTTCTACTGCGAATGTGTTCGAAACGAACTCTCTCACACAGAAAAATATCGAACACAGCCCGCTCCATAGCTCGCTGAGCGACTTTGAGCTTCCTCATACGGCCAGCAGCAGTGAAGGACCACGTCTCGGTAGGTCATCGCTTTTAAAGTACTTGCTTAACATGGACTAAATATATATTTTCATATTTCTTTTTTATTATACATAACTTAAAATGGCCTACCTGACTGAAGTTAATAACCTGTCATGTTTTGTGTAAAAAATGGTAAACTTACGAAGCGTAATGAATTAAGTCTTGGTTACACTCGATCCTGAAGCAGTGTCCGATCGGTGTTAGCACTGAGCCGTAAGGGATGACGTCTTTTACCTCGTCGATGTAGCAGCCTTCTTTATTAGCTGTGGATAAGAAGAAAAAAAAATAATTAGTAAAATTTAAATGTGGTAAGGCCACACAACAGTCTTCTCTGTTGTAAGAATGGGCAGGTCCCGGACGGTAAGTACCATCACCTCACGCGTGAAGTGGAAGTATTACACTTCTGCGTTTCGTCTGGTGAGTGAGGTAGCCAGGGTTCTCTTTTTTATTGTGGCAAGGCATCTGCAAAACTAAAGGTGTTGGAAATGTCAATGGGCAGTAGTTATCACTAAACATCAGGTGACCCGCCAGGTTTCTTGCCACCTCTCTCACAAAAAAAATATATATCTATGAAGGATAATCAGTTTTATAAAGGACATTAGAAATCATATCGGAACGCACCTTGCTGACGATGTGGGTATTTTCATATGAATGTTTTCTGCTGCGAAAATTGTATTAATTTGTAATAAAACAATCGGATTATAAAATATTTCATGAATAAAGTGATGTATATATGAACGTGTCAGATTTTCTTTAAAAAATCTCAGCTATCAAATTTATGACGGACGTTTTTTACGATTTTATTTATTAAAAATCGTGTCTTTCTTACATAAAAAAAAAAACATAGCTGATAAAGGCCAAATTGCAATAGCAGATTTGATTAGCAAAACATTTATGCGAATTAGTTTAGCATACACCACCTATATGAACTGGTGATAATTAAAATCCTAATGAAATGCTTGTTAAATATTGTTATATTTTTAATACCAAGGCCATCAGACTGGAATCGCACATAAATTGTGAAATTTATTTAAGACAAAACATATATAAAGGCAAAATTTTGCTTGTAATGTATTTCTCAATTTAAAACAAGACAATAAAATAGTAACGATTCTATACGAACGCTATAAAATGCTAATAAATTTTATGTGAGCTTTAAATAGTCACGATAGTTATCGCTAAATAAAATGTGATCTTAGCGAAAATAGGAAAATAGGCCATCTATTGCATTTTATAAGTGTTTTCAAAAGCTTTATGTATTATAATATAATTTTCACCCTATTTTTCAACTGGACGCCAGGAAAATGATGGGGTATTTTTAATACTATATAAAATAAAAGTAAAAAAGTATCAGCCTATACGTTTGCCACTGCTGTGCAAAGGCTCCGTACCAGACAACCCTCACATATCTTTGTTATTATTTTGAAAATATGAAGGTTTCCTCGCAATGTTTTTCTTCATCGCTGAGCACTTAAATCTTCAATAAAAATTTCACTGGTGACGAATGACACTTTTCACTCGAGTATATTCAATGAAAAGCAACCCCCCCAGACACTGAGCTATAACGGACTCAAAATATTTAACAACATGCACAATAATTTTATAAAGATTTAAAATCTATATTTTCTCATGGCAGAACAGATTATTCGAGTATTCCCCAGAAGAACAGATTGGATGAAGAAAGAAGAGTGCATGAAATAAGAACGGTGAGAAGGACATTGGGTAAGAACGAAATTCTAACCGTTAACGGTAAAAAGTTATTAAAAGTGTGTGTAATTAAATACTTATCGTATGATGTAGTGTCACTGAACTAATTTTGAGTTTATACACTTTATTAAAATCTAGAATATAAATAAAATAATTTATAGAGCAAGAGCCCGTGGCCTGTCAGACCATCGTCATTTTATAAAGCTGAAAGATTGTCAGCGCATGCTCCCAACACAGGTAAGAACGATGGACCATTATGGAGTTTGGGTTACCTATTTACGATTTAATAGAAGCCTGTTAAAAATAATATAATTTAACCTTTTACTTTAAAATTTACCAAGGAAAAAATGGGCATGCAATTTTAGGTCCTATTGCGCGGAACGTGGACGATATGCAAATTGTTATAAGCTACTAATTCACACGAAATCACTACAAGGCGCCGTAAACGAAAACCTGCCAGAAGTAGTTCCAGTAATGTGTCAATTAAACTTCAGGAATCATGCGTACGACGGCGATATAGATCTTTGTCTATGCTAATCAGCTATGAATATTTTATTAAAAATCGCACTATTATTATGAGTGCCAAGTAAGTCATTGAGTGTTAACTTTGTTTCGTCTATTTCGCAGCGGATTTGATCGAATATTGAAAAGTGGTAGTGTGGTGATAATCTTTACCTAATAAAAATTGAAATATTCTGTTTCAAAAAGAATCACACTCCTTAAATCAATAATTGATGAACAACTTCACAAATATATTGAATAACAGATCAAGCTTAGCAAACTTAACGCAAGCTTAACTTTACCACTTTTAGTCAAGACTCATACATAAAGTTGTTTAAGTAAAATTTCAAGGATATTTTTGACACCCGATGTGGCAGCACGGGCTGTGTACTCATTATATTACTTGTATCTCGTATATTTCTTTCCCATATCTTTATATCCTTCGTGCTGCATTGTTCCCTTAATATAATCTGAGGAAACCAATAACACCGATATTTTTCAAACTTCAATCTTCGAAATCACCTGATTGAAACACTATTAACACATCAACAATACAATAGGAATTTTGTTTTTGCAACACAAAAGAAGTTTAAGACTTTTGTGCGTGGTTGTTTAACTACTTAATATCACATGAACTGCTTGCTAGTTTATCACCTCCTCAATAAAACATAATCGAATATAATTTTGCAACCCTATTTTTGAAGAAAGAGGTTTGCATGTCCTATTAAGGCTCCATCGCTCTGCTGCCTTTGTCAACAAACACTCCATATATATGTGAAACAGTCATTTAGGTGAACACTAATCGATACACATCACTAGGTTAAAAATTTAAATGATTTCGAAGTGTAATCTCGTAGTCGTGTTTCTTTTAATCTTTTGAAGCATAACAACTTTGATTCATTTCATTAATATAGGGGAACAATGGGACACTTAAATCCGCCGGTCTTAGTATTCTCATTTTCTTCCACAGTCTTACCCGTTCCGTATTGTTAATTTGTTTTCTTGGGGGTGCTATTTCGATGTCTCACTTGAATATTATTTAACGTATATTTAACTACCTACTGGAAAAATATTCTGTGATGAACATATTGTTTTTACAGTGTCTGGGCGTCTATATATCTATAATGTGTAATTAATTACTAAGGAAAGGTATATTAAACTATGATTATCAGTTATGTACTATACATATATTAGGACCTACCCAACCCGTTCCACATAAATCATACCCACTATCCATAGAGCAAGCTTTGTTTACTTTGGAACTAGATAGCGTTGTGTCAAAATATGTCCTGATAATTTAGTTTAATTAAAATATTTATAAATGAACTTTGATTATTATTTGCAGTTATAGCTCCGTGCCCGGACGATCGCCTCAACTCAATATACTCGAGTTAATTTACGTGCTGACTTATTACTTACTGAGCGGAAAACATCGTGAGGAAACCTGCATATTTTCGAAATATTAACAACAAAATATGTCGAATATATATGAAGTCCACTAATCCGTAGTGAGGCCGCGTGTTGGACTATACCCTGATATCCTCTGTACAGAGAAGGCCTTCGCAGCAGTGGAACATGTATGGGTTGTGACGGTACTTTTTTATTATTATTATATTACAACATTATTCCGTTCCTTAAAATGTTGACGAAAAAGGCGGTTTGAGTGGTTATTTCACTAGCATAAAAGTTTATGATAACACTATCATAAGCTTTTATGCGGAACCCTTGGAAAAGGTTTCATCCATACCTTTAATGTAAGGATTTAATGTAGTAACTTTTGGGTACGATTAAAAGTCGTTGACTATATAGGTGCTTTTCATTCGGTTGATATTTTATCTATTCACTTTTATTTTTACATTAGTACCAAAATTTTAAAAGTTTTCTGTATAATCTGATCTACTTAAGCCGAACAACAGATTTCTAATTTATGGGTAAATACAAAATAAATAAATCAAAAGTCGCTCTCAAAATACAACCATCGCTGATATCGTAACGAAGTAGTAAACAACTTCGTGAATTTGCAAATGAATGTGACGCCGCGGTGCCGGCGGTTACACGCCAATATGTTGTTGATGCGATGAAAACGTCAAAGTGGCGCCAGCGGCCGCCCACTCAATAGAGAACTGAACTGTCATAAACAGATGAACATAGAAGATGACTCCGTGGCGCAGTTGCCAAGTTATTGGCTTCGGCGTCGGGGGTCGTGGGTTCGATTCCCACACGGGACAACTATTTGTGTGACCCACAGATAGTTGTTTCGCATCTGGGTGTTTGTCCGCGTGAAATTTATGTTTGTAAAACGTCCTTTACAACACAGGATAATATTATCCTAAAGTAAGGGCAGTGTTTTTAAAAAAGAAAAGAAAAAAGAAAAGAAGAACGTTCGAGCCAACTAGAGCCAACGAGCCAACTGGAGCCCACGAGGTAATTGAACATATAAGTCCATTTTTTTACTTGTCTCGCTATGTATTCATTTAATAATTGATTACCAGGAGTTCCCTTACTATCTCCGGAGCCTAAGATCCAATGCCAATTAAATTAATATGGGACCACATGGGTAGCTTTCAATTAAAAACCAGCTTTCAATTAAAAAAAGCATCATCGAAATCGACTCACTGAGTCAAAAGTTCTGAGGTAACAAATATGTGACAAAAAATACAGTCGACTCAATTCAACCTCCTCCTTTTTTGAAGTCGGTTGCCAAACGCAATCAGATTTTGGTACCTTTATCTTGGTCGATTTCAACTTGATATCAAATTGGTTTTTTTAAGCAAATGTTTTAAATATGTTTAATGACTACGTAGACAGGTTTGGGAGAGATTTCTTTTATCGTATTTACCATTCTGCCATCATGCCTGCCCATTCGTGCAACAGCCTCGGCTGTTGCACGAATGGGCAGGCGGGTAAGTACCACGACCTCACAGAAGACCGGCGTAAAGTGGAAGTATGACAAATACTTTCGCGTTTCGTCTGGTGAGTGAGGTAGCCGGAGATTTTCAAAAGGTTGTCAACGCATCTGTAACCCTCGAGTGTAGCAGATGTCCATGGGCGGCGG